ACTGCAAAACCCAATCACATCATTTACCAGAACTTAGTAAGTGTAGCAAATGTCAAATGAGTTTTCATCTCTGTCGAAATGAAATGAACAGATACCAATCTACACTGTCATTTCAGCATATTACATTTTCTTTTTGTTTATTATAGTTAACGAAAGACAGTCACTTTATGAATGATCTTGGACTTGACAGTTTGGATCATGTTGAAGTTGTCATGGCAATAGAAGATGAGTTCGGTATGATTATACAATTTTAAATAGGCCCCGCTATTTCAATCTTTCCGAGGCCTGGTAGTCGGTTAGTTTCTAGTGTAGGCTATGTCAGATTTGTAGTGGTGCTTTAATTATACATATAGGCAAGCGATAGTTTATGGTGCAATCTGATGAAGCCTCGATGAAGCACTGAAATGTGATAACATTTGCATTCATGGATGATTCTCGTTTGCAAACATTTCCAGGGTGTGAAATCCCAGATGCAGACGCAGAAAAACTACTGAAACCATCTGATATTGTGCAGTATATATGCGAGAAGGAAGAAGTGACGGCATGAGGTAAGAATAATGAAGAAGAATTTTTAAAATGCTGGATTTGAGTTTTTTCTAGACTAGGCAAGTGTTACCTATGATTGAATCAGAAATTTTAGGAGACTGCTGTAGGTTTGAAGGGCACCAAGGCAAACATCTTGGAACAACTGGGTTTTCAATGCAACACACTTTTCAACAGTAGTTATTATGTGGGACAAAGAAGAATGCATACACAACAAGGAATTTATGGGAAGGACACGGAGGAATACTAGGCAGGGCAGCCACAGCTGTTTATTGCTGTGAATATCGTGAATATAGTCCCAATTTTCAAGTGTACCACAACAAGTTAAGAGGGCAACTACAGCATTTGCCATCTGTGCTGTGGCGAAATTTGAGTCTATAGTGACTAGTCTTGTGATAAGGTCACAAGTATCGATTAGCAATTCAATAAAGTCAAATCAGTTGAACAAGACTATAAAAACACAGCACCTTAAATTAGCGGTTTCCTATGACATGCATATAAGTATATATTAGTGTTATTTAATTGAATTTTGATGCTGATAATTGCTGAGCTGTATGAGCTTAGTACTACCCATTAGATGAGTACCAACGCTCAGGGAGGCAGTAGGTTTAAAAATAACAAATTTGCATTTCTTTTCAGGAAAAGATCATGGGTGTTTATGAGAATAATTGCCCTGGAGAAGCTTCATTTCTCACCGATGTCACTGAAGAATTGGATTCTAGTTCAGCTGTGTGGCAGTATGTGTATCAAGCAAGCCCATGTTAGCGTGTTAAAATGGGATTTTTTTTAACCTGTATAGGCAGTTGTTTGGGAAAATGCTAGCCAACTTAGAAATGCGTAAACCTTATTACACAATTCACATGTAGCATATATGCACAAGGCAACAGTCATCTTATATATTGCAATATTGTCTGCATTACTTACATGTAGTAATAATGCATGTCAAGAAAAGGTTTGCAGGCAGTGGGTCTCCATTCTGTATTTCTTGTTAGAAGCAAGGTTATGAATGTCTGTTGTGGAGCTGCAAACTAAGCAAGTGCATTAAATTCATAATATCTAAGTCAATGTACAATTCGTTAAGCAAGATGGAAAATTGTGAAGTGTATCAAAAATACAGTGGTTGTAAAGGAAGAGTAATGTTGCTTCAAATTTCATTAATGACTAAATAATAAATGGAGTTTTGTGTTGTATACTTATATAATCCATCATTGTTTTTCTGTCACTATTCGATATAGTAATTAAGAGTGTGCATAATTGTTCAAAGCATGTAACGTTTCAATAGGGAATATGTTTACAATGAATAACCAGGATAGTGAGTAGTATGTAGGGAAGTCGAGTTTTCTTTCATGTTTAGTAAGGAGGCATACTTTATTTCCAAAAATACAAGCCAGATTTTTACATCCTTTTCAATTGGCATTGTCAATCGATCAGAATTTCAAATTCATAACATTAAAGATGTGTGAAAATAATGGACGAAATGGAATTGAAACGTTTTACCTCCCAGAAGCTTCAAATGTCACACATTATACATTTCATTTGTGACAAGCCACTTGACCTGTTACATTATATACATATAAGACGATTTAACGTCATCATAATAGCCAGTACGTGTATCACTGATAACACCTAGTAGTTTACCACACACGTCTGTGACAGATGCTCATTTTGTAATGGTAAACAAGTTTTTGTTCCGATCTCTACAAAATCAGGATTCAAACCATCACTGCCCATGGTTAACCAAAAAATGAAGTACCTGCCTAAAAATATTATCAGTATCAAATATTATATTTAATTAGTAGCATGTCACACATCAAAACATAAATTATAGGAATAAAACATACATTATATAAAACAAAAACAGGATGAAGGCATATGGTTTCTACAAACCCACCTTCCCACATATAATAGTTGTGCAGTAAACGTTAGCGATTACTTGCAATGCCCAATTGAATAACATGAGACTACTATATGTACATCATTGAATAAAATGTTCAAAGATAATTTGTACAATTCGGAAAAACATAACTACTCATTAGGTGTCAAATCACATGTCAAGGATAGAGGATCCTACACAGGAATCACAAAATTAATTGCCACTATTAATTTTTTATTTCTATACTAGGTATCTTATCATTTGTACCAACAAAAGATAAACAACAGGTGTACTCGTGAATATATAATTAGAATGTTTTTCTACAGAAAACAGATATATTTTAAATACTTATATTATACAATTCAATAATGACAGCCAGACAAATTAAACACATTTGACTGCCAATGTTTATTTTGTATACTCGATATCAATCAATTTGCGGAATGAAATACTCTAAGCATTGCATATTTAATTACATAGGTTACAATATATTAAATTGAGAATATTATCCTTCCCACGAAATAATTATTAAATTTATTTATTAAAAATTGACCAAAGCATTGCCATGTGCCACTGTCTTGTTCGTTACGTGTATTTCATTCTAGCATACATCTTCAGAAGCTATAATGCGCTATTGTACAGACATTTAGATACATAGAAACTATATAGGCTTCATAGTAAATCTACCACTTGCTTGATCACGAAAAACAGCAGTGAGGCAGAGACCATACTATATAGGACAGTCTAATGTGCTTGAATGAGCGGTAAAAACATCTTGGAAACAAATCTGAGTGACGGCGAGTAAATAGTACCACGTTTAGCATCAGTCTTATATATCAACAAATAAACATTTTGCAGCAAAACTGAGTTTGGCTATACGAAATAAAAAAAAGTGCCACTCACACTGTAGAGACGTTTATATTCTGCTTGAAATTGCACTCAAATTGTGCTCCAGGCCTCCTATTATTTGTGTGTACGTGCGTGCATGCGTGCATATGTGTCTGCATACGTGCGTGCATGCTGTCAGTACCTGGGTTTCACTATTTTATGGATGTGACAACCTACCTAATGGAAACGTTTACTTCTGACAGCTTCAGGGGGGATTCCATTCCAATAACTACAATGCAAAGAGAGCATTTTCCGTTTCATCTTTCTTTGATAGCTGCCCTCTCTGGCCGTTGTTTTGACCGACGCTGGGTAATTCCTCTACCGCACGAGCTCGTGACTCCAGAAACCTATCAAACTCTGCAATGCAGCACAGATAAACACGTGAATGAATACCAGATGCCCAGCGATATCAAATTGTGATATTATGCACGCCTGATGTAATATACAATTCAATTACTGTTGCAAATGACGCTTCCCTCCAGCCAAGCTTTTGGCTATTGCTGCTAGGGGGGTGAAACTAGACTAGTTCATATGCGTTTTTTTTAAATATGCCCACTAAATTGTCAACTTTCGCTCATAGGGTCTATGTACCCCAGGGTACTGCCGGAACGTACCCTGGTAACTATCTGATATGGTTAGGGTTAGGGTTAGGGTTAAGGTTAGGGAGTAGGCGTAGGCGACTCCCTAGACTCGATCGTTAGTGGAGTAGGCGAGGTACGGTCCGGCATATTAGATAGTACCAGGGTACGTTCCGGTATACCGGACCGTACCCAGGGTACGTTCCGGCAGTACCCTGGGGGACATAGACCCTCTCAGCTCAACTTTCCGGCACTTGACTACTAGGAAGTTATTTATAGAACACCCTATCTCAATCTTGATTGACTAGATGCTCATAACTCCAGGTAGATAGGTGAATTTAACTTGTATAGTGTAACGAAAGGATATACCCTGAGTCTATTCCTCGTCTAGGGACAGTCGTGGTAATTTTTTTTACATTAGCTCTGAGAGGCTATGGCAATCTATCAGGGAAATGAAGCAAGCGACTGTGATCCACTTAGCACATCGCTAAACGTCTATGTTTGCGGTGTCACCATCAATTCAACAACACAGAGCTCATACCCAGTACAAACCTCAGCAACCTGATATAAAGCTACATGTAGATCGTACAAGAACACACGTGACATATACTACCCACCAGCACTTGTCATAGCCCCTTGTTGCGGCTCCTTAGCATCCTCTGTTTTCAGCCAACTCTCCATCTCTTCGTACTCCGAAGGCTTATCCTATAGCAAGAGGAGGTAAAAGTTGGAAACTCAGTGAAATGTTGGGTGCGATGCCAACCACGTAATCCCAAGGATTTTACCAAAGACATTTTACAGATTACACAAGTGTATCTATCCACCCATCACCCAAATTAACTTTAATGCGACGTTCAAAGTATAGTTTGAATGCTGATAAAATGAAGTATATGCAGTTAACAGTGATGCCACTGTGCAAGTGAAAACATGCCGTAAATAAAATAAAAAGTACGAACGCAATCTTGCTCGCTTAAAATTGTCATCATAAAATTGTCGCATAAAAACAAAAAACATATATATATATATCGCATATACACACAATATATAATGTCGAATATATATGACATTTATATTTGTCGCATAAAATTTGTCGCATAAAATTGTTTGTCGCATAAATGCACAATGCAAAACAAGAAACCAAACGGTCACAGATTATTACACATTCCACGATGATTATTAGTGTTAATTAAAGCAGGCCAGTTGACGACTCAAACCACTGTGAAAACAGACACCAGATACAGACTTCATGCTCCATGTTAGCAAGTAGTACGGATGATTGAAACAAATGCAATCAATGTTAGAGAGACCACTGCCAGCAAGTATAAAGTATATAATATATACTTTATTATGTATACATATTATCAAGAGCGTATAAAGAAGGAGAGCATACAACGGTGAAATGCTGAAACCATGCTGCAGTATTAGTCGAATTAATAAACTTTGCCCGTTTTATTTTGACGATTCTTTGTGGTATTATTGATCAGCTGTCCTACCTTGCTAATATAAAACAAACCGCTTGTCCCTACGATGCGTCTACGCTGAGATAATGAGCGATAAAAATCGGGTATTTTCGCCGAAAACCGACTCGAGATCAGTGTTTACTGCAACTGTCTCTCGTTCTGGCGATAGCTTCGGGAAACCTCGCGTGTTTCCGTCATTCATTGACAATAAAATTTATTTTCCTTCTACTATCTTTTCTCGCATTTACAGTCATTGACGCAGCCATTACTCCACAAAAACATCTTGTTATTTATCGCCATGGTGATGACCCGCCCCTTAGGCAAGATTTTTTTATTTTGTTAGTTTACAGATCCGCCGAACCCGAATTTTGAAGAAAAAAAAAAAAAAAAAATTGAAAATCTGTAAGCTGACCTTTTCTCTAAGAAATATGAATAAAAAAATGTAAATATAAAAAACAAAAACATTTTATAAACAAACAGTTTATAATAAAAGTAAAAATAATTACAAGTTGAGTTTTGTTTTCATTTAGTTTTCTTAAAATACTTTAATATCATGTATAACATTATGACTGTATTTTGAGTTGTTTGATCTGACAAAGCGACAATTTTTTTTTTTTACCTTACCGTGTCATCAACAAAAAAAAAGGTGGCCTTACGCTGGATGTAGTAACGCTGTAGTAATAACGTATGGAGTCAGCGCTACACAGCGGCGACCGGAAGCAACATACAGTCCATAAAACGAGAGACAGTTGCAGTAAACACTGATCTCGAGTAGGTTTTCGGCGAAAATACCAGATTTCCACTGCTCATTATCTCAGCGTAGAGGCATCGTAGGGACATGCGGTTTGTTTTATATTAACAAGGTAGAACAGCTGATCAATAATACTGGAAATAATAAAACGGGGAAAGTTTATTAATTCAACTAATACTGCAACATGGTTTCAGCATTTCACCGTTGTACGCTCTCCTTCTTTATACACTCTTGATATTATGTAATAACAAACTAGCAGAAGCATGGTACAATCTTTACGAACTATTTGGAAGTTATCACGGATTCAACACAGCAAAAAGAAACGGCAAAATGTTAGAGATACTGGCAAAAATTACCTGCAGAGTATCATCGTTGCTGCCCTGTTGAAAGCACACAATGGTAGGGAAATATATCGTAATGATCATCAACGATTTTCTAACAGCATTGAATGCATGATGAGCATAAATGAGTAATAGTGAATGGGCCCGCCGAACCCAAGACGCAATTTCATACCACATGCTACATACGACGTTTTTACACGCGCGCGACCGTGACGCTGGCAACCACAAATTTTACTATAAAAAACACCGACATATCAGTGCAGTGCTGTTACTTACAGAATCTGTCACGGGAGGGGGGGCGTGCCGTGCCTGTACTGCTGCACCAAGGCTGCCACTGTACTGGTCAACGTCAGTGTTGTCTGCGTATGAACTGCCCCTAAAACAACACAAGGCACGGCGTAGACAATGACTTTGTGTCTGTAGAATTCGAGAAACCTGAGCATACTTAATTTTTCGTTCAACATTGAAGAAAATTACTGAGAGATTAGCCGGAGTGGCTTTTAACAATTTGTTAATATATTTCTAAGATGAATGATATTGCGTCAGGCTGCCTACCCCTGCCTGCTTTGTTCATAGGTGGTTTGCCGTGTCTGGGCAAACATGTCAAATTCATCACTGCGTTCTCCGGGGACTGTCCCTGCTATTTCTGCAGTTACGGAATGAACACATTAATTTCCTTAGCAAAACGTAGTCAGTTTTTATCTGTGCTAACCTAAAATAACATTGTTGCCTAATGTTTGATTTCAAATTCGCTTGCACATGTTCCATTCACTCACGTAAAACGGTATCAATAAAAAAATAATAAAAATAAAAACCGATAATAAACTTTAATTAACGTATCCTACATGACTTTCTCGCTTCACGAAAGTCAAGAAAAGCAGCTCGAATTTAGACATACAAGATTTTAATCACAAAACTCTCATTTTTCTCTCATTTTAAAGCAGTTGGGCTTGCAGTGTGGGTCATTCGCAGCTACGTTATGATCACTCTTCATATATTACCTCTTTGCTGACTTACCCACACTTCCCATCTGTTGGGTGACCCCAATCACGGCTGGGTCACTGACACCGGTCTGGGGTGGTGTGTCTTGTGATGAATCGTCTCCGAAATCAATGAGTGCTGCAGCCTCGGATGCTCTCTGTACCCCTGCAGGCCCCACGGGCAGCTTGACCTGCGTCTGCTACACACAGGTGTATGCAGGTGACGGCGAAACAGATGCAATAATATTGTCACTTCATCTGTCATGAAGCGGCTGGCACAGGATATGTACGAGCAGTTAGAATAAAGCTGGGTTTACACTACCGACTTTATGTTGGCGAATTGGCGAGTTGGACCAATTTCGCAATTCGCCAACTCCGAGTTGGCGAAAATATAACATGTTCTAATCTCCCAACTAGTTGCTATCGATCGGTTGGTCGCGCAACTTTTGCGTTTACACTGCCGATTGTCGGTTGTATAGTTGGGAAGTTGGTCCAACCCAGCTAAACACGAGGCACAAGCAGGAAACAAATCCCTATCCAGCTGGCGATTAGCAGGCAGCTCTAGCCAATCATTGTCGTGATAAGACTTTATAAAAATGAAAGCTTAGTAATGAAGCGCCACAAAGTAGACCATATGGCATCTACACGTGTAAAACCACTTACAAGCCCGGGTTTGTTTCACTAACTCAGTAACAATATCCAAGTGAGGCTTACTCGCTCAGGCGGATAAGTTAACTCTATTAAAGAACTTCTCTGTGAATGAGCTCTTACTTGTGGGCTGCTTTGATCTGTGGCTTGGGCTGCCAAGCCCGTTCGATAGCGCTCGAACCGGTCGTACCGCAAGAACACGTTGTTAAGGTTGTCATTCACGTGCAGCAACTCACCTGCAGAAGAAACCGGATGATATAGGCTCTAAATGACCTACGAACCACTAACAAGAATTTACTCTACTGGAATTCATAGATAACAGCGCGAGCGCATCTATTCGAGTTAAGCCTGGCGCACACGCAAGCTATGCTACTGTTCTAGTCGCCGGATTTTATCGCAGGAAATAATCCATGTATCCCACACACGCTGCGCTGTGTGTGCTGGTTGATATGCTACGATCAGTAGCGGGAAAAATCGCAGGGTAAAAATCACAGGATAATGAGACGATGATAAGGATAATTCACCCGCCGATAAGGAACGAAAAAAGTCGTTCGAGAAAAACCGTAACGTGCGCGCCAGGCTTTATATTGTTAAAGGTCTAGTCGACTCTGGGATTTTACTGCATACAACTGTACTTATTGTATAACAAATCGTCTATACCCCCACGTATTTGTTACCAGATACCTAATTTAATTGTTATAATTAATTACACATCAATGCTACGAAATTTGAACGGCGCCATGACACCCGCGACCGTGCTGGCACCTGAAAAAGTTGCGCATTTGCCATTATTTTGCACGTTACAGACCGAGGGCTAATCAAAAGGTGCAATTATATTTATACCTAAATGCTATTTAACCGACGATGTTCATTTTAGGACAAATTTATCCATAATATAACTAAAACTATATGTGTTTATAAGATATTACAATCCTTTTGCTTTTAAATTAATAAATAAGAAACCACCCTCGCTCTGTAGCCCTTGGCTGAAAAGTGGTTTTGCGCAACTTATCAGATCGTGCGCTTTGAGTGGCGCCACCGTCGTTGTAATCAAACTGTAGTCGTTAGTTTAAAACATATTTTTAATAATATTTCTAATGGTGATTGAACCATGAAACTTTTTATGTAGTGTAATTTTAACCTAAATTAACTGAAAATAACTCTAGAACCTAGAGTAAACGATCCCTTTAAGATTAATCCCTTTAAGTATGTTCATGATGGTTGGCCTATCGAGTTTACCTATGCATGTTATTTAATGGGCTCATATTAATAGATGTAGGAATGAGTGTCACAAAACTGGATAATTAGCAAACTTACCGATCCAGAACTTAGATAACTGAATTGGCAACAACTTGAGTCTACACAACATACATAACTGTCTATACAGGAAAGTTTTGACATTACCATTAAATGGCGGTTATCCAGTTAAACCACCTTCCCAGAACAGATACCTCCCCAGGGTTTCTTATACATAGAAGACACAGTGGCGCACCGCCGTTGTCAAATTTAACATCGCCGTTGTGAAATTGTTCCTGTATTTACTGATAAGTATATCCTGTATCTATATACCTATAAGTATGTCAGTATATCCTGTATTTGAATCCATCATGCCCGTTTTTTTCCCAAACTGGCCATTACCTCCTTTGTCTAATTTTCCGTCAGAAGAAACCCTGCTCCTATAAAGGACACTTTTAGCTTTCTTGACGAACCCTTATATAGAGGTATGACTGTAGGTAAACAAAATATGACATACTTGTGACCTCCTCATTTAGCCACCTTGTCAATAAGCTCCACTATTCTGTCTGCATTGTCTTGCATGTCCGGGTAAAGTTCCTACGCACATAAACACAAGAAACGACTAAAATATATACCCATGATACATACATACATATACAATATATATATATATATATATGTATTATATACCATATAGCCATATAGCCATATTATATCTATAGAAATGACGACCAGTCTGTAGCTCTGCAAAGAAAAATGCGGCATAACTGAGAAAAAGATTGCGACAGAGCCCACTAGATGGCAACACGCCACCCACCTGCAGCAGCTCGAGGTCGGCGGGGTCAACGCGACCCGGCTGCAGTTCGGTGAGCATCTCACCGAACACTCGCATGTTGCCCATGACGATGTCCAGCTCGCTCCTCAGCTTCGCCAGCTGCTCCGGCGTCGGGTTTATCGGACCTCCCGGGATCGTTCCGGGAGGAGAGTGTTGGGCCGGAAGTGGTGCCGGGGCCGGTGGCTTCCGAAATCAATAAGGTAACAACGTTAGACGTCATCGCTTTCATCGATCACACGTTTTTTCCTCCCCAAAAAAAATTCCTGTGCCGATTCGTAAAATCACTAGAAACTTAAACATGAAAAGTCATGCACATTATAATTATAACTTATAGGAGGGAGATTTGTTGACATAGTACGAAAAAACAAATAAAATTTAAGTGAAGTGAATGTTCCAGTGGAGGGAAACATCTGGAACTTATCGGGTCCGTGACAACTCTGGTTACTGAATTAAGTAAGAAGGAGCAGAGTATAGAAGGTGAGGTGGCATTGCATGTAGTGTGCTACTGTACCTGTCTCACAGCCTGGGGCCGTGGAGGTTGTGGAATAGGTGCTGTGAGTTCAGTCTCGGGTATGCTCTATAAACAAATACAAGCAGTCGTGCCACAAAAAATCAACGTGGAAATGCACACGTGATGTGACCCCCCCACCCAAACACGCACATACGCACGCACGCACGCAGACACGCACGCACGCAGACATGCACGCAGACACGCATGCACGCACGCACGCACACACAGACACATACACACACACCCAAATCACTCGCATCGTTTCCAACAAAATTGCAGGTGGTTAGACTGAACATTCCAAGTCACGTCAATAACAGCTATGAATAATTACGACAAGATTTCTATTTTGGATTCACGTATGCACAGACAAAATCAGATGCAAACATTCCTTGTCTGTTAGCCACAACCACAGCTAAGTTTTTTCGCAGAAAATAACATTTTCTAATAATCTGTGCCAACCATCTGAATACATAATCAGTGTGGCAAAATCGGACGAGCAATCAGCATACCCGCTGAGGTGTGTGAATAGGTGCCAGATTGTCCAAGTCCGTCATAGGAAACTCGATGCCTTTGGACTTAAGTTCATTGTATACTTGCACTACTCCAATGCAGTCTGGCTGACCTTTGAAGGCATCGGCCCACGTCTGTAAGATATAACGTCGTACAACTGAGAGCAAGACTCGTCAACGGACGGACCGGGAACGTGAATGCGTGACCCTGGGCAGGCAGGCATGGCTTTGTGACCGTGGCCAGAGGCGGGCTGGGTAATCATGGATGGTCAGGGTAAATGAAGCCAGAAGCACCTGAGGGATATGAGTGGCAGCAAAGTAGGGACCTGGTTGTCCCTTGAAGTTGATTAGTTAAAGGTGACAAATCTTTTCGCTGAAAATTGTCTCTAACTCTGTTTGTCAATATAATTGTGTACACCAATGAATGCTGAGATGTTGCATGTATTATTATTATTATTATTATTATTATTATTATTATTATTATTATTATCATCATCAATCACATCTAAAAATGAGAACAAACACACGTTAGTGCAAGAATCGTAGCAATTTTTTTTATACGGATGAAAAAATCTGCTACCTGTATTACACTGAGCACTTTCTCCTGCACGGCCGTTGGAGGGTCGTTCTTTGGTCCGATAACTTTTACAAGTTCGCCGATGAAGTCTTTCTGCATGACCAACACATGGAATCGATGGCCACAGTTCTTCACACACGTCTCTAGCACCTGGAAACAAGCATCCCGCATTTTATTTCTACGACTCCACGTTATTTATAAAACTCTGCCCCTAGGGTATCAGAAAGTCCTTGGCAGTCCCAAGGGTAGGTAAAGAAGGATGACTGGTCTCCTCCAGTAAAATCCATAAGCTATGAACGCAATCACAGGGGTAGAAATTAACTTTTGAACAAGGGAGTCCAACAGACTCCCTACCCTCAAAAAAAGGGAGTCTGCAGCGAAATGAGGGAGTCTGCAGTCTGAGGTTCAAAATTAAAGATATTAACAATAACGCATGTGCTTATTTTTAAGATTCATGCAGTTGCACATCTGCCAAATTTTCTTTGGACATTAGCTGAAAAAATACAGTAATTCCGCGAGGCCGTGCTCCGGAACGAACTAGTTAGTACGGCAGAATTTTCAGGGCGTCACAAAGACTCCTGCATATGTCAAATCAGGGAGTCCGACAGTAAATCAGGGAGTATTTGACTCCAGACTCCCGTTAATTTTGCACCCTGAATCATTAAAGGTACTTGAAGGGTACCATCAATTCATCTACCATTACCATCTACCATTGCTGCTCTAGATACCACCATCGCACAGGAGGAAGGAGGAAGGAATGTTGTATCTCAGGCTAAGAATGACAAGTCTATTCACTATCCAGACTCGATTCGAATTTCCATCCAACGATCCAACTCACGTCTCTCAAATGTACAAATATGAGTAAAACAATTTGCGATTGTAAGTTTGAGTCAAAATTTGAATGGCAATTTCACAAACTTAATTCCAGACACTGTGATGACGTGAGCGAATGAAGGGACTTCAGAACAGAGACTTTCTAAGAGCCATGAAGTACTTACCGTCAGTGTGAACATGATAACATTGTAGTTTTTGCCCAGGTGTGACTGTAGTCGCTTCCTGATAGCCTTGACTGCATCCTTGGCCCTGTACACAGACGTGCATAAATAACATATTATCAGCAAATCTAGTTCAAATGGTGAGAAAGCTGGACAATGTCCTAACAAGTCTCTACAGACTTTGAAAGGTCTCCTGTCTACTAACTGTAAACACATAGCAGCTAGTTAACACATTAAACCGGGCATTATGTTAGATATCCATGGTAACGATATTATACACGTTTATTTTACATCTAACACTGGATAATTGTCACCCACTGTCTTTTTCAAGCAATGAAGTTTATAATAAATTATAATATTTTATCATTTATAATAATAATAATTTATAATACTGGTTGTCGTGAAATTCACTTTGAAATTATATTACTCCATTGTGTTTTCATTAGTCGGGAGGTTTTCTCCGGGGCATTTATGTTACGTAACCCACCCGTCCTCAGTCTCCATGATGATATCACAGATCTCCATGTTGAGGGCCCAGTCTTCCGATGCCAGCGAAGCATCAGTGCCTCGTTCTGCAGAAAATAACAGTAACAGTAACTGTAACAGGATGCGAACAATTCACCAAGTGATTCGATGGTGATTACATAGATTGCTAGATAACCTCTTCCCAATATGATAGTACATACAGATATTTAAGAGATTTTGCCTCACAGTCACACTGTTGGCATGCATATAAATTTTTATCCACTCCTGATAGTATATATATAACGTGAATGTATTAAAGTTATTACGTCACCGTAAATAGTAAAAGTAAAAAAAATATTTCCACTTTTTCACAAAATATAAGTAATTCTGTTCACTTTTTATGGTTAAATTGCTGCATTAAGCCCGGCGCACACGTGAGTTATTTTACTCACGTGTGCGGCGGATTTTCGTTGAGTAATTTAACGCATGCGTCATTTTACCTGAGTAAAATAACTCACGTGTGCGCCGGGCTTTATACTTCCTGTTTTTCTATATTGTTCGATGTGAACCTACACTCGTAACTCATACATAGCCCATAGCAAGCAATTAATGTTGGGAACAAATATCAAATCGTCCAGGTTTTTTTGATTTTTAACTAGTTGAGAAACAATCTTATCAGGTAAGAATTTGACGATACGTTTAGTCCCATTAGTTCTTCCTTTTAATGTAAAAAAATGGCAACAAATATTTTACAAATTTTACCATAGAAAATTCGTGACGTAGTCAATTTAAGGTGTAAAATCACAATTTTCAAACAGGAAATTGGTAAATTCAGGAGTATTTCATACTTTAAATATGAACTGACTAGTAGGTCACATAATTGGTGAATAAAAGTTGACACTGATACATTGGATATTACACTTGTCTTTTGTTATTATTCTATGTTATTTGTCTGCAATCTACTCATCTGTGAGTGTAGCTGATAATTTTCATTCCTAGCCTACCGTTAAATTTACACCATGCCCATAACTATCACCTTCTACCAAAACGTCCCAGTTACAAACCACCAGCAGCATTTAAGGTCTGTCATTTTGGCCTGTGCAGAATGCTCATGACGTTTACATTGTCTGCCACCACTGAGCTTGATACAATGGTGAATAGCTGTGCTGACAGGAAGCTTGGCTGTAGACCAGCTGTCATGTATATATAAAAGGTCATTTGCCTCAATTATTTATGCCGCAACATTTACGGAACAGCATTGTCGCTGCACCACACGCTGTATGTAGCATCCTACAAAAATTTGTACGGTCAATTGAAAACCAATATTGGATCATCTAGGGCTGCCTTGCCAGGTCATGCATTCTGACAACCACTGGGAATGCACTATTTTCACCACATATATGTCCTGCCTAACACTATGTGCTGTGTTGGTCTGAGGAATAAGATACATTTACATTGTCAAGCACTTAATTATGTGTTAAATGGTAGTTAAATATAGTTGCTATATTTGTACAGAATACGTAGACAAAATAATGCAATGTGTTTGTATGCAAACCTTAAAATCTTCATATCTTAGGGGCATTCTGTTGTCTCAAGGAAGACAGGAAATATTAAATTAAAGTTCACCAGCCAATCAAATACCTGCATGTAAGCTTGTTTTCATTTATTAATAAATATTAAAATTTTGTTCAAATAACCCTGTTTGAAAGAATAAGGATCATAACAAATAATATAATATTTAAAGGTTTTCTGATCTTTCTTCAAATTGTTAGAAAAAACTTAAAGGAAGATTAAAATTTGTTGACAATGTTACAAAATGCTTTGACACTGTATAATTCCATTCTAATTTCTAGCCTAAGCAGAACATTATCTATATATGTCCAAAAGTAAGAGACCACACACTGCCAGCTTCTCTCTCACCCACCGCTCACAACGACGACGACGACGACGACGACGACGACGACGACGACAACGACGAACGACGAATGACAGCGAGAACGGTTCATGGATATAAGCGCTGACCACAATTCATTTTCGCAATGTGCGACATGTGCAAATGTGGACAGCTCTAAGTTATATCCTTGGGCTGGCGATAACAGCAGCAGCCAACAACAACAAAAATAATAACTAACAAAACTAAATAATAAGTACGAAACGTACAGCTCGACATGTACAGCTCGATATGTACATATATGTAACATAGATCTGTACATGTATCCTAATCCTGCCGACAGTACCCAGATAATGATAATGATATATGACAAATGGCGGCCCAAGGATATAACTATAAGTATAAGTATAAGACTAAAGGCCCTGTCACACCTTGACGATTGAGCCAGCGTATGCCAATGTATCAAAATTTCTCTAAAACGCTGGCATACGCTGAACTATCGATGTTTTTATTTATTTTGGGCATATACATATAGCGTATTCATAACGAGTTGGACGTATACATAACGTATTAGTAACTTATATAGAACGTTTCGATAACTTATAGATAACTTATACCAACAAATGCTTAGCGTGTTGCCGGCGTTCGCAACTTATGCCCAACGATAGTCTAACTTATGCATAGCGCGCGGCAGCGTATCGCCGACGATCACGTGTCGTAGCCTATAAAAAGGCTGCCACTCGACGATTCAAATCATAACCGCACTAGACATCGCAGTATCAACATCACCATCGCAGTATCAACATGCCAGTGCTCAATTTTAAGGTTTTTTTTTGGGTTGTCCGGAGGACAACCAAGAGAGTAGCATATGGTTGTCCCTCAAGAGTTTTGGTTGTCCGGATATTATTTAAACATGTGCTGCATGCGCTCTGCTCACGTGATGCTCAGTGCTGTAAAGCAAAAGGCCTAATCATGTACATTTTGTACGTATTGCAGCGGCAGCAGACATAGCCATTCACATTGTTTCACTCATTATATGAAGAGAATATAATATTGGTAATGTGGTAAATGATGCTGGGATCAATGACGTATAATAATAGTAATTAAAAGTTGCATAAAATTTATTTCATAACATTTAAATTAACTACTAACATTACTAACATTATACTAACACTGTGTCAAGTCACAGATGAGTAAAAATTGAAAATTAACACGAAACATTGTGTTGTTAAACACGTAATGTTATACTTTGTATCAAGCAAGCCAGACAATGCGTCTAGACATGTACGTTTGCAGCGTATTGTGCAACCCTGGCCGTATGTAAAATGAACGCACGCATTATGAATATAAAATTTTTATAGAGGTTGGACACCGACAACCGGAAGCAATTTGTAGTTGCCCGAGAGAAAATCCAGTCGTCACGAACGACCGGACGACTGTTAAAATTGAGCCCTGCATGCCAATACCATTTTTATATACCAATTCCCCTAAACGCTGCCAATATCCCATATACGGTAGCTGTAAGTTAGAAACACGTTCAGTAAGTTCTGTGGTCGTCCGGAACACGACAAATACGTCTACATACATCAATATGCGTTGGAGATAAGTTCGATATAAGTTACACATAGGTTCAAAGCACGTTACTCATAGGTTAGAAATTTGGGTACGCTAGACATTATCTCAACGTATTTCGATTTATGAGTAACCTACAAGTAACGTGTGTGATTGTGAACGTGTGTCAACGATTGCATAACTTACCTACAACTTATGGCCCGCGTATCCGGGACGTATGGGCATACGCTGGCATACGTCGAAAAATTTTGTGCATGCACAAATTTTTTCGACGACCTCGCCGTACTACGACGTATACCAGCGTACTTCAGCGTGCTTCAGCATGCTCTTAACTTATACAAAGTTTACCCATAACTTATTCGACGTACGCCAGCGTACGGTATTCACCAAATTTTTCATACGTCGGTATACGCTGGCTTTCATACGGTGGTGTGACAGCGCCATAAGAGCTGTCCACATTTGCACATCTGCACATGTCGCACATTTACTAATGAGTACCGGTAAATTGTTAATGATTTAGGAAAATGCATTGGGGATAATCATATCCTTGAATCCAGATCTCAATAATTCTTGCTAATTTCAGCAACTACTACTACTAGATAGCTATATTTTATATTTGCGTAGGGCGTGAAGTGCCTGTGGTAATGCGTCTGTTTATATCAGCGTTATCATAACAACTTGTCAACCTGTGCTGAGCCTGAGGCTGAGGTTCAGTACAGTGACTTCCCAAGGCTTGCCGATTAGGTCACAGGTGGACAATTTTGCCAATCATAGTCATAATATGGAAATATATGTCGTTAGAATTGTCTTACCGATTCGCTGACCAACGGGAGTTGCAAAGGGATTTGTTTGGAAAAAAGACATGATTTTGACGGCTTCCAGCTGGAATATGGCCGTGTTCTCACCGGTCTAAAGACTAAAATCCCTAACTCTGTGCTGTACAAACTGTGCCACAAAAATGACTCATCATCATCACCACGTTCTTTTACTTGTAGATGGCGCTGTATTGTTTATAGTTGCTACGCAAAGAGAGCCGTAATCGTCGTTTGACGGCCGAAAAACGAAACGATTAAAATAAATTTTTGGTGTATTTCATAATTCCCTACACAATATCTTATCTGGACAGTGTAATTCTGAGCGCTGTGAGTTCTTATGCCTCGAAATATTAAATAATATAGTTTGGGTTAAGCTCAAGCTGAGCTCAGAGCAGAATCTGAGAATGTTGTACTTGATTCTTGAAGTTGTAGTTGTAGTTGTAGGCCTATGGCTATGGTAAAATCTTATGCACTGCTTGGTGCGTAGTTACAGTTACACTAATACTAATAGTAATAGTAATAGCAATAGTAATATTAGTAATACATATTACATTACTCATTAGCAGTTCCTCCCCACATCCTGTATTTGACCCTATAGTATAAGTATAAGAACTTTATTACTACAGCTACAGGAACATGCATACTTGCTTGTCAGCAAGATTCATCTTTCTATTTTTCAGAGAATAGGGTACGTGTACTTGGTGTACAATACAACTTGCAAGATGAGTCGTCTGCATGACACCACTGAGCCAGCTGTTGTCAGCGAGGATATGCTGGTTTTTGCAGTGGAAAGCCAAGGCCCTAAGGGCATGGCTGGAAGGATTGCTAAAGAAGAAGGAGTAAACTTTTCACATGTCAAGTCACTACGACTGGATTATAGAAGTACCAGTACATTAAAAATATGTGATGTAGTACCAGCTAAAAATATGTATTCTTGTTCAGGAAAAACATAATCTTGCAATTGCTAATCTTGCAACTATAAAAAATGTATAAAAAAAAATGAAAAAAATATGGAACCCAAAATGCAAAAAAAAAATTTTGGGTTGCGGCTATTTTCTTGGGTCGGTCGGAGGACAGCAAGCATAATTTTTTAAGGATGGCCCCATGGCCATCAATCGGCGAGCGTTGGTGTGGTATAGTGGTACTCGATCAGTTATATCCCATGTGATTGCAGATATTCTCCGAATTGATAATGTGTGGCGGTTTACAAACCTCACCAAACTTCAGCTGGACAACAATATCATTGCTAAGATTGAAGGCCTCGACATGCTTGTAAATCTTGTGTGGCTAGGTAAATGATTATTTCATAATGATAATCAAACAATTCATAGACTGTCAAGTTTAGAAAAATTAGATACTGTAAAAGTTTACTATTCTTATGAAAGTTCTATTTAAACCTGAAGCATCATATATATATAGTCTTCCAAATTAACCACCATAATCATATCATATTTTTAAAAGTTATTTGGACCATGTTGTTCGTACGTGTTTGTTAGATGAATTGCATGGTCTATGAAATCAATTTCCAATTAGAATGCAAATTTATCAGTGATTTTTATTTCAGATTTATCTTTTAACAACATTGAAAAAATTGAGGGCCTGGATACTCTGGTGAAATTGGAAGACTTGAGTCTTTTTAATAACAGGATCAGTCTTCTTGAAAACATGGAAACGCTGACGAACTTACACATTGTCTCCTTGGGCAACAATGATTTTAACGACTTGAATTCTGTGAGAATATTCAGATATTACTTGAAATATTAAGTTTATCACAAAATGTAGGAAGCACATTTTATTTAATAGCCTCCTATGCTATGGAATGTACCAGGAATATTGTTATTGCAACTGAACATATAACAAGGATTGAACAGCTTACAATTAATCAATCCCTGTAAGACTATTAAGTTACAGGAAAAATGATAGAATTTTTTATAATATATGCATATATACATAATCTAAAGTAAACTTCTGTTATGCTGGTTTTCACCCTACAGCTACTATACCTCAGGCAGTTCAAGAAATTAAAGACAGTCTGCATTAGTGGCAATCCTATGTGCATGAATGAGGACTACAAACTCTTCACTACAGCTCACCTGCCAAATCTAGACTACATTGATTACCGAGCTATCACCACTGAAATGGTGAGCAGGTTTTTTGCTATGCAATGTTAGGGTAGACTATTCCTGCCCTCAAAACCTACCTCTAGGTTTTTACAAAAATTAGTTATTTAGATTTTCTATATTTGTTTTATGCAATTTTTTATTATTTGTGACAATTCCTTCAATATAAGGCCTGAAGTGCAGTCAGAGAGCACCAAATAAACATTTCTCTGGTTCTGCACAGCCCTCGAGCATCAGGCTTTAGAAATCAGGTCGTTGCAAAGACTATACCCCTTGCCCTAACCCCACTCTAAAAAATCATTTGGAAATATGTCAGATGTACTGTTACTCTGGTTACAATTGTGTATAGTGTTGTGCTTCTGAAACTTTACAATATGATCTTATCGTAGAATTAACTTTGACTTCAAAACTATTTACACATTTTCTAGAGAACGCAAGCCAACGAGAAGTACCGAGATATAGTGGAAGAGCTAATTGCAGAAGAGCTGTCAGAGAGTAGAAAACAAGAAGAGGCACTCATTAGACGTCAACAGGAAACACTTCACAAGGTAAGTGGTAATGGGAGTAGAGAGGTTAATCACATATCAATAAGCATAATTGCAATCAAGCTCAAATTTTCAAACTCAATGATTTCCATATGAATGGAATATACAGAATTGCACTGTAAAACTGCATCGTTTGCAATGTCTTGTTCTATTCATTCTTCATGCAGGCTGCATTTGTAGATCTTTTGGATGGATCAGGTTTGTTTGACAGTATGTATGAAAGCGATCCTGATGGCAATCGACTCCAGGAGATACCTGAAATCAAGGAGCTGGTTGACTCATATCCTTACTTGACATACACTTATACACACATAATATTCCTTCAGTCCTTGAACATTCTGAACACATCTTGACGAATTGAAAGATTTAGATGTTCATGTTATATCATACTCAAACAGAACGTATTTCTGACCAACCTACCCATATCCTAACGAACTGAAATATTTCGATTTTCATGATACACCATTCTTAATCAGATTGACAAAATCAGGCTTGAAGTTCAAGAGAAAAGGTCAAACTCAAGTGCAGGTGACATTGCCTTAACTCCGAACACTTTCAGAGAACAGTTTGTTGAACAGTGTCATCAAATATTTGAGTTTGGAATCAAGGAGCACAACAGGCGACAAGAGGAGACTGATCAGTTCTTGGAATGCTTGGAAGAAGCCAAGACAGAGAATAGACACCTGTGTGTTCAGCAAGTGAAGACGTTTCTAACTTATAAGAAAACGGTATACGGACCACAACCTATTTCTTAGTTATTTAGCAATTGTACTCCCTGTGTTCATGGTCGTGTGCATGTCAGTTCTTCTTCTTTCTTTGTTGCATACTTCGGTTCTTCTTGTTTCCTTGTTATGTCGTCCCTGGTTGCTCCTGTGTAAGTTGGAGGTTGCACACAGACGTGCTACCTCGTTCTTCCTTCGTGCAATGCTTTTCACATGAGCATTTAATACAGGTGTTTCCGATCATGCTGCAAACCCAGGACGTAGATGAGCTTGACAGTCTGATGGAAGCTTACAATGAAAAACTATCGAAAATATCTAGTTGTCTGACAGGACTTGAACTCCAGCTAGTCGACCAGTTAGAGGTTAGTAAACCAGAGAGAGAGAGAGAGAGAGAGAGAGAGAGAGAGAGAGAGAGAGAGAGATTGGTGACTTGTTAACAAAGGACTGAACGCTTGCTATATTAGAGCCATAAACCGTCAATGTGAGCTCAAGTTGACAGTATTGCCAAGGCAAAGTCGTGTTGAACAAGGGTTATAGCTTCCTTAAATCATATGGATTTCTAAAAGGCAGTTGTCTATGCACATGGGCCTGAAGGCTAAGATGAATCATGAAGCTGGCCATTGAGGCAAGAAACACAGGCAGGCCCATGGCTGCACGCTCTTCATAAATGTTGCCCTGCAACTGAATGAACTACAAAGTTTAATCAAGCTGAGTCAACTGTCCTGAAAGCATTACTTGATTTTAGCGTGTACCTTAATGTAGGATTCAGAACGATGCCATCTTGATTATTCATCTACATGCTGAGCGCCATCTCGCGGCAACATATAGTGCCTAGTTTAAAATTAATTTAAATTCTCATGTAACTTGTAAACCGAATAACTAGATAACTAGTACTAGCTACAATAAAAGTTTACTTTTCATCTTGAATGCTAACATATAGTTATTGTACTAATGGCCGTGCTATACCATTACTACATTGTGTCGAAATAAGCGTTACAAGAATATTAGAGACACTATAATATTATGATTAACCTATGACTTTGTTACACTCAGGCATAGGAAGATAAGCAATTATTGAGGGGGCCGTAAAAAGCATCATTGCTGTTTTTAATTTTTTATATAATAAGAGAGAGAGAGAGAAAAGCTAGTAAGATAAGATAGAAAGAGAGTAATAAATGAGACGGGACAGGAAAAGCGGTGAGCGGTGTATAGGCGAGCGGAAACGGGGTACAATTAGGTCGTTGCGACGATGGTGTGCAAGGTGGATGAGGAGGTTGGGAGCAGGGAGGAGTCGAAGCAGGGGGAGGAGAGGGAGTAAGGGGGTGGAAGTGAGAGCCAAGGGGAGTGAAGTTGGGAGCAGGGGAGGGAGGAGGAGGGAAAGGTGGGAAAGGACTTCCCCGCCCCTTCTAATATACTTGGAGATCTCGTGGCTCCTCATGGATGCTTCTAACATCTGTATTATAGATAGACTAAAACTAGATAGCTGTGAATGCTATGCAACAATCGAAGGAAATGGCCAAGTAGTCATTTAAAAATAAACCAAAAACGGCATGGGGGGGAGATAGTGAGCGTTCCTAACAAATGATGTTGTGCAACTGCGTATCTGCAATATCTGCGCCTAAGCAAATGTGTCACTAGCCACAAC